TGTATTTTCAAGCCATGCCAGGGGTCAATTTTTAAGACTAAAATTGACTTTTGAAAATCCACTACCAAAAACGACCAGAAGGTGGCAGAAGTGCGTGTATATCTAGTGCGGCTGAGAGGTCGCATTCAGCGAGGAAAGAACTAACCCTTATTTTTAACTCGCATAAACGGTCAGTTATTGACGCTGGTCCATCGGCTGTTGCCGTAGCTCCCGGCTAACGTGTAGCGTACGCTAACTCCATAGCATTCCGTTCTCTCTATCGTACTTCTCTCCAAACACAAAGTTTCATTTATTTATTTTCAGACTTTTTACTCGTCTCTCCAATAAATGGAGCCTTAAACGCTGTGAAGTGACTTTCCCTTCAGCACTGAACCACAAGCTAACAGGCGACTAGAGCAACAAGCTAGTAGAGGAGGAACACGCTCTCCTAAGACCCGCCCCCTTCTTCTTTTGATTGGCTAATACTGTTAGTTTCAGAGCCCTCCTTTGCTACCATTGGCTGACAAACGCATTGGGGGACATTTGTCTTTTTTTTTTTTTTTATTTAAAGGGAAACACCTTTTTTTTCTTTCCCCATTGGGTCCCTTGATTTTACATTATTCCATCGTGTTCTAATCACCCATATGAGTTTAGTGGAGCTATTCTGAAGATATTCCGTTAGATTATATCCAAGTATACACACTCCGCTTTGTTTATAAAGATATAAATATGATAAATCTAACAGCGGATGTCTGGGGGACAGTGATTGGCCTCCATGTTCTGAATGCTGGCGTTCCATAAAGAATAAATGATGAACAGTTTAGTTTGGTCCTTCAAGTCGTTGCCCATAGGAAGAACTTATTTTCAAGTGATTTTTTTTTTTTACCCATGGGCATTCGCTACGAGCCGGAAATATTTAATCTTTAATCCCTGAGAATGAGGAAGAGGAGGGACGTGAGCCTGCATGATCAGAAGGAGGAAGAGTTTTTCTTTTCCCTTCAGCAGGAACTGAAAATAGTTTCACTCTGAAATGAAATCGGCTTCAAATCTTTTAAAAAAACATAAAGTTGATTGTTCTGATGGATTATTAGTGAATCATTAGAGCGGCTAATCATTAGCAGAGGAAACACCGACTGATACGAACCGAAGGAAACCTTCAGAAAATAAAGTTTCTAACGTATCGATTCTCTTTATTTAAATAAAAAGTCCGGATCCTCGATCGGCTCTGAGGAACTACAGAGAACAAAGATCTGACGCCTGCATGTAGGTCAGAGTGAGACCTCCTGTTTGAATAACAGCTTTGTTACCATTTTAGTTTCTGCTGAGCTGAATAAATAGAGATAGCAAATATAGATAACCTGCTCTACATATCTGGTCAGTGTCATAAGAAACTAAAACATTTTTAATTGTAGTTTTATTTTTCTCTTCATGAACTTTTTCACTTTAAAGTTTTCTAAATAAAACAAAAGGCACAAAGTTTTAATGACATCTGAAGGATTCACAGGTTCACGGATCACGGATCGCTTTCAGAAATATGAGACGTACGGGGTGAGATTACTGCCAATAAAAAATGCATGCTTAGCCGTCTCAATTAGCAAAAGGAAAAAAAATACAAAAAATATCTTTAGGGTTAGTAAGTATTCCTCCTTCTGGACTCTTAGATACATGGGATTGGGAAATGTTGCGTTTGTGAAAGTACGAATTTAGAGGTTTTTGGATACAATTTTACATCCAATACAGACTAATCAGCTGTTCTTGACTAAAACAGCTTTTATGAATTTGTAACTCGTCGTCATAGTTTATAATCCTGTAAATCCAGCTGAGCTTAGGTTTTATCCGTAGTTATCTTAGCCAATTAAATGAAAGAAATCTGTATGGGGTGCCATTAGGAGCAATATTTGTGGGGGGGGTTTTTTTGTGAATTTTAAGAGAAACATAAGGGGTTTATTTTTTTTTCCATTTATTCATTTATAAAAATCTTAAGCTGTTAAAAAGAAAATAACTTAGTTTGGAGCTAAATATAATAAATTTTTAGCTCCAAACAAAATATTTAGTTTGACTAAAATATTTATTTCACAAACTAAATATTTAGTTTGCAAATTACACATTTATTCTTTTAAACAGATATTTAGCAAAAAACCAAATATTTTGTTTATTAAAAAAAATATTTAGCTCCAAATAAAACATTTCTTTAAAAAAACTAAGTATTTAGCTTCAAACTACATTTTTTTTAACAAAGATTTTTAAAAACGAATGAATGACATAGCAAGAAACTTGGAAAAAAATAACCCCCGTATTTTTTTCTAAAAACACGCTAAGTCATGTATTGACCCATCGCTCATACGCAAGATGTCAGATAAATAACCATAAATTTTGCTCCTCATTTTTGACTGCTTCGCTTTACAAACGACACCCCATAAATGTGACTCATATTTTAGTTTTGCAAGTTGTAAACCTAAAACTTGTACTTCTGTATATTGTTGCAAAATGGTACCTTAAAATAATAATTCCCAACATTTAACTTAGATTAATAAGTTCAGACACACAAACATGTGAAATTCATCTGAAAGCCTGAACATTTATGATCATTAATCCCACATTTCCAAGAGTGACACGTTTGTTAGTTATAACTTTATATAAATCATTTAATCAGAAGTTTCAAAATTGTACATTTTGATTAAAATGAATAAATTCTAGACTTGAACTCTACGTTTCACGTTTGTTTGAGTCGGGAAACAAGGAAAAAATACAGACGTAAAATGTTGAGCAGTTCCCGCTTTAAATGAAATGAATTTTTATTAAACGCGTTTGTTTACTGAATGATGCTTATTTTTGATGGTAATCTACCTCCATAGAAGTTCAGCAGGTCTGTTTAAAGATGCCAGAGGGACACAGATGGAAGGTCTGACAGAAGAGCAGAGCGGGGCCCCTCCACTGTGGATGGGGGCCAATGTGATGGGGGCCAATGTGATGGGGGCCATGTTATGGGGGCCCCTGTTATGGGGCCAACATCACATCTTCAAGGGTTGCAACATACAAACAGGAGCCATGATGGTCCCGATCTGACTCACACCCTCCCACAGAGAGGGGGGGGGGCTGCAGGAGCATGAAGCTGTTCATCTGGATGGAGGGGGAGCAGAAGAAAGGCCTTTGTGTGGGAGGGGGCCTCCCACTCCCCCCCCCCCCCCCCACCCAAATCTCTGCATCCAGACCCCTCCGTCCCGCGCGGCTTTCCGCCTCCTCCTCCTCCCGCTCCAGCCCAGCCTTACCTGGCTCTCCGTCTGAAAAACATCGCTGTGTCCCCGGGCCGGCGTTGCTCTGCAGCTGCGGGGAACTCGGAGCATCTCGGAGGGTTCAGCTGCAGCTGATCCACCGCCAGCAGCGGCCATGGAACCGGAGCAGCCCCCGAACATCCACACGGAGCCCCCGCAGATCCAGCCTGAAAGCTCCGAACAGAACCGAGAGCGGCGCCCCGCACGGTCCGATAGATGAGGGAGGCTGAGGAAGGACGACTTCCGGATGTTACCAAAATAAGAGCCTCTGTCTATGGGGTGCCGTTTGGCCAGATATTAGCAGCAATAATTAGAATGGGAAGAAAAAAAACAGGTTTTATATTTCAGAGTCGGATTATTACCAGATCATTCAGACATTTATAAACACTTCTAAAATAAATATTTTATTTAAAAAACAAATATTTAATATACAAATGAAATGTTTTCAACCTTTTAATCAAGTATCTCTTTAGCAAGCTGCTATATATGTAGCAAATTTACTGATTACATATTTGGCTCCAAATGAAATATTTACCTTTACAAAAAATAAAAAAAATCTCCACTGTTAAATATTTATCTAACCAAATGAAAACGGTATTTTACAGACTAAATATTATTTGACAGCCATATTTGTTTTTTTTTATATAAATTAAATATTTTTCTCAAATGTTAAATATTTATTTCACATATTAAATTTATTTTTACAAATTAAATATTTAATTTAAATTTTAAATATTTATTTCACCAACTAAATATTTGGTTCCAAATTAATTATTTAATTTGAAAAATTAAATATTTCAAATACTAAATTTATTTTTACAAATTAAATATTTTTTTAAATGTTAGATATATATTTTTTCAAGTAAATATTTGGTTCCAAATTAAATATTTAATTTTATATATTAAATATTTCAGAGACTAAATTTATTTTTTACAAATTAAATATTTAATTTAAATGTTAAATATTTATTTTACCAACTAAATATTTGGTTTCAAATTAAATATTTAATTTTATAAATTAAATATTTCACATACTAAATTTATTTTTACAAATTAAATATTTATTTTAAATGTTAGATATATATTTTTTCAACTAAATATTTGGTTCAAAATTAATTATTTAATTTGAAAAATTAAATATTTCACATACTAAATTTATTTTTACAAATTAAATATTTATTTTAAATGTTAGATATATATTTTTTCAACTAAATATTTGGTTCAAAATTATTTAATTTGAAAAATTAAATATTTCAGAGACTAAATTTATTTTTACAAATTAAATATTTATTTTACCAAATTAAACCTTTATTTTTCTGACTAAATATCTGGCTCCAAATTAAATCTTAGTTTTTACAAACTAAATATTCAGCCAAAATATTAAATATTTATTTCAGCAACTAGAATTTGACTCCAAGATAAATATATATATTTCACAAAGTTGTTAAATATTTATAACAGAAAAAAATGTGTAGCTTGTAAATTAAATCTTTAACTTTCTGATTAAATATTTAGTTTGGAAATGTGACATTAAATATATATGAATGATCTGCTAATAATATATATTTGAAGAATGAACCTCAGGGTTTTTTTTTTTTGTTTTGCAGGCTGAATACCCATAAAACATTTTTGTGAATATTTGACTAGAATGGCACCCCATACAATCAGTGGAGGAGGCTGTTCATGAATGAAATCAGGACGGGATCTCATTTAGAGCAACACTTTTAAAGAAGTTTATTTTTTTTTTCTGTTTTCATCATATTTACATCCTGCTTTAGTGGATCAGCGGAAGCTTTGCGTCCAGCGATTCATTTTAACGGGCTAACCAATGGGAGACGATCTTCGCTTTGCAGGAGGGAGGGGCTTACAGCAGCACTTGCTGCTCGCTGAAGACAGAAACTCGGACTGAATAAAGATTTCATGTTTCAAACAATAAAGATACAAGTTGCAATTTTTGTCACTTTGAAACAATAAATAAAATAAAAAAAACTACCGGAGTAAAAATGTGTTTATATAATTTGCTACGTTGGAAAAACATGTTATGTGACTTTATCTATTCCTGTTGGTGCAGAATCCTTCACTGTCAACATCGTAAATATTTATACATATTTGACCCATCAGAATTCTAAAATATTATATAGCATTTAAAAAAAAAAAAAAAAACTTTTACTGAAAAACTGTAGCAGTGACCTTTAAAGTAAAAATAAAGTAGGAAGTTAACAAAGTTGGATTATTCAAACAAAAACCAAGAACTTGGGTTCATAGCAAAGTTAAAATAAAAATCTCTGTTTAACAGAAGTGGGAACAAACATCCTAAAGTGAAGCCAACCGGCTTGTTAAACAACAAAGGGAAACTCGGCCCACAAAGCCACAGAGAAGTGGGTCTAACTAACGTCAGTAGCAGCTGCCACTGCGGTAACACAGAAAATAAAACAACACTAATCAGAAACTGAAGAGGCTGAACTGAAAGGAGGGCAGTCTGATGGTTTAGATCTGCTAAAACCGTCTCAGAATTAAAACGTTCGTTAAATTTAAGTAAAAAAAGAAGTAGAGAGGTGCGTGTCTCTAAGGAAGCGCTGGGATTTTTCATATGATGGGATAAGATGTGACCCGGTGTTCTGTCAGACCAGCATACACATAGTCGACACGCATTCACATGACGTCTGATGTGTGTTTATACCTTTAGTTTTGTACGAAAAATCCACTTTAATCACCTAAACGGGTGTGTGTCCCTTTAATGATCTACAAATAAAGCTATTTAAGGTCAGATCACCAAGATCGCTTCAAAAAGTAAGTAATTAAATCGTTTTTTTGTCCATGACTAAAGAGATAATGTTACAAAGTTGTATTTTATATCAAATCTTCCCAGAATCCCTTTCTTCCCTGAAATGAGGAATGTGGAGCATCATGTGAAGTTCTACTTTAGCATCAGGAAATCTTTTAGCAGCAGCATCAAACTGGGCAGGATGTCAAAGTGGACTCTGGTTGCTGATTGGTGGAGCTGGTCGCCCGTCATCTGATGGGCGGAGCTCCAAGCTTTCTTTCTGAAACGGGTTGTTCTCGCTAGTTTTCAACTTTATTCAGTTATTATGACTTTATTCTCGTAATTTTACGACTTTATTCTCCTAATATTACTTTATTTTCAAAATAAAATCATAAAATCTCTAGTCCGGCCCTAATCTTCCGTCGTACCAAGATGACTTGCAGAGAAACCTAATTTTCTCTGTACCCCATATAACACAAAATTCAGCTCTGAAAAGAGCAGAAATTCTGTAAATATCATCTTTAATGTTTGTATTTTGATCTGCATAATTAACCACAGGGTTTTAGGTGTCAAGGAATTTTATAATATATGAAAAATGTTTAATAAGTTTGAACATTCCATCTAAGAGTATTACTGCTGCTATCTGTATTAGAGGGCAACAAAATGATGGGGTGGCCATGGCCACCTCCGGCCCCCCATTTAGCTCCGCCCCTGCAAGCCTGCGCGTTTCTACCTGCAGTCATGACAATACGACTGATTGGAGTCTGTCTGTCCTTCTGTCTGATCCAGACACGTTGCTTCTGCTCCTTAAAGGAGTTAATCTGGGCTTAACCAAGCTTAGCCCTCCTGCTTAAATCTGGTCTGTAGCTCAGATAGGCGGCGTGGAGCTAAAAAATAACAAGGCTGCTGTTACAGTAAACAGGAAGGCTGAGAGGTTTCCATCATATATGAGGGATTGCTGAAGAGTCAATGAGTCGATGCAATCAACTGGTTTTCCTTAGATAGAAA